TGTGTGTGTGTGTGTGTGTGTGTGTGTGTGTGTTGACACACGCAGATGCAGTGATGCAGAAGCTGTGATGTAATACCACAAAGGGAGAGCAGAGATGTTTTCATCCTGTCATCCATCATACACGCATCATACAATAAACACAATCATCTGAGGCTAATTCAGATGCTAACACACAGTCAGGTGGTGGCTCGGTCTGTGCAGACTGAAACCATCAGAACCCTCCTGAAAACGAGCAAAAAAAAAGGTAAATAAATAAATAAAAACATCCACAACATATAAGAAATTAACGTGTCCCTAACATTACGTGTTGTCCACCTTTAAAGCTGCCCACCTACCTGAGCTCCTCAGCTGCCTGCTGGCCCAGCGTCATCAGGACTCCCGTTGGACTGATCTGCGCATGCGCGGTCAGGGCGGAACTGAAGTCCGCGGGACAGAAGCTCCGGGGACTCCATCTGCTGTAAGACCGAAACAAAGTGCTAACGCATGATAAAGTCCCGGCATGTGCGCATTCAGAGTTGTACTGTGCTGCCGAACGCTCTGCAGGTATGATTCAGTGTAAAAGTCCAAATATGTCTGCGCACTTCACGGTCTAATGTTGAATTAATAATAATTGAGTTTTTACCGTTTTATGATTTAATTTAAGCTCTGGCTGTAATCTGATAACTGACACCGGCTGGACACGGACATGTGTCCTGTAAAGAATGTTGTGACCAGTGTTGCCAGATGGGAAATGTTGAATTATCCTATCAGCAGCTCAAAATTATCGTATTTTGAGGAAAATTATCGTACACAAGTTACATTGTAGAGAGGCTCAAATTTACAAATACATCCTGCATCCTAAAATGAAATCAGGAAAAGAACAAATCATTGCAGTTTATTGTACTTTTGATTTGTCAAATAAATTGAGTGCATACTGAGTAAATTTAATCTGCAAGCCTCCAAATTTTTTTCTTTTAAAAAATATCTTCTGGATGACACCTGGATGTTTATTAAATGTAAATGTTGCTTGTACTCCTCACCTTCTCAGTCCCACCTTTTCTTTTTGATTTTACAGTTATTATTTCTTTCACATAAGTACTATTATATTTATCTTTGCTGCTACTAGTTGCCATCATAACGCCAACGTGGGAGGGGGTGTTCTCCCCCAGAAAAGTTTGAATGAAGTAGGTGCTGTTTCCTGCATTCTGGTGTGTTTGCATGTTGTTAAACATATTTTAAACTACATAAATAAACACTTTAATAACTATTTTAGAGACAGATTCTACATTTAACTCAATATATGAATCATCCTTTTTGTGTCTCATTGGACGTTCTATTTCATCCCTACTGACCGCCAGAGGGCGGTGCTAAAAGCACTGAATGTTCCCTTCGCGCATGCGCCGTTCGAGCTGTAATACCAACAGCGTCACACCTGTGACCAATCGGATGACTAATCAGAGGCTATATAGCTTGACGTCATCCGAAGCTCTGTTCCTCTATTCTGCTCGCGTACGGTTCGTTTTTCTCTTGTGGAATATTTCGCCGTCGTTTGGACGTCCCGATTGCCAGTTGGCTGGAGTAGCGGTGTATCGCCCTCCAAGGGACTGCGACGGACTTGTCTTCAAAACAAAGAGGTATCCGCTGTTTTGTTGGGGTGACGGCGTCTTTTCGCCTGGTTCCCCAACTTGCAGCGTTTTCTTTTTTCTCTGTTGTAGTATGTGAATTTGTTGGTGAAGGCAGCGTTTTTTCGCCCCCGCTCCCAACTCCTTCAGCTTGTGTTTTGATTAATTAAGCTAACGGTGTTAGCCTTCTTACGTTACTGTGTGAATTTGTTAGTGAAGGCAGCGTTTTCGCCCCCGCTCCTAACTTATCCAGCCTGTGTTTGATTAATTCAGCTAACGGTGTTAGCCTTCTTAATTTATTGTGTGAGTTTGTTGGTGAAGGCA